ATACCTATTCCCGAAAACTTTCGTCTTAAACATTCACCTAACTTTGTACGCAGAAAGCCCATGTTAGACTATCTTAGTTTCGAAAACACACTAACATACGTGTGAGTGGCTTCATGGCCCGTTTGTTCGATAATACTTGCACGTATTTGAGCATTTCAGGGTCAAGTGCTTGATTTCTCGAAAACAAACTCGGGCAGTTCGACAAGACAACGCCATATCATGAGATTATTGCCCTTTTTCCGGCGAAAGGTGAGGTGATTAACATATCTGCGTTACATGTGAGAATACCTATTCCCGCAAACTTTTGTCTTCAACTTTCACCTAACTTTGTACGCAGAAAGCCCATGTTAGACTATCTTAGTTTCGAAAACACACTAACATACGTGTGATTGGCTTCATGGCCCGTTTGTTCGATAATACTTGCACGTTTTTAAGTATTTCAGGGTCAAGTGCTTGATTTCTCGCAAACAAACTCGGGCAGTTCGACAAGACAACGGCATATCATGAGATTATTGCCCTTTTTTCTGGCGAAAAGTGAGGGGATTAACATATCTGCGTTACATGTGAGAATACCTATTCCTGCAAACTTTTGTCTTCAACTTTCACCTAACTTTGTATGCAGGAAGCCCATGTTAGACCATCTTACTTTCGAAAACACACTAACATACGTGTGATTTGCTTCATGACCCGTTTGTTCGATAATTCTTGCACGTATTTGAGTATGTCAGGGTCAAGTGCTTGATTTCTCGCAAACAAACTCGGGCAGTTCGACAAGACAACGGCATATCATGAGATTATTGCCGTTTTTCTGGCGAAAGGTGAGGTGATTAACATATCTGCGTTACATGTGAGAATTCCTATTCCCGCAAACTTTTGTCTTCAACTTTCACCTAACTTTGTACGCAGGAAGCCCATGTTAGACTATCTTAGTTTTGAAAACACTCTAACTTACGTGCGAGTGGCTCCATGGCCCGTTTGTTCGATAATACTTGCACGTTTTTGAGTATTTCAGGGTCAAGTGCTTAAGTTCTCGTAAACATACTCGGGCAGTTTGACTGGTCAACGGCATATCATGAGATTATTGCCCTTTTTTCAGCGAAAAGTGAGGTGATTAACATATCTGCGTTACATGTGAGAATACCTATTCCCGCAAACTTTCGTCTTCAATGTTTACCTTACTCTGTGACCTGTTAGGTCGATAATAATCGTAATTGAAATTTATTATACCTAAATGTTATAAAGAATCTTTCTTTTGAAGAAACGTTGTGCTTCCTCTCTCTTAATGGTTTGATAATTTGCGCAACTTTTGAAAGCAGTAAATCAAAAGTTTCTGTGTTCATTCTCATTGCAGTAAAAAATTAATCGCTATCATTTCTTAAATCCGCAAAAAAATTTTCGAAGAATCCTCTTGAAGATCTGAATTTGTAGTAAGGACGAATCAATCATCTCTCATTAATACTTTTTTCATTTTTTTTCAAATTGATAGGCGTTAACCAGGTTTCTCATAGCTCTCTTCAATTGAAGCAAGGCCTTGAATAATCTTAAGCGTCGTAAAGCTTTCATATTTACGATTTAATAATGTCATTAATTAAAATTGAAAGGGTGATAACTCAATTCAATTATGCTTCATTTGGAGCTGTCAAAACACTGCAGGTTACTTTTTCTTATATAATAAGGCCTCCACACTTAAAAAAGAATAGCGAGCACAGCGGTCACAGCTAGGAACATTGACGCCACTGTTCCTCGATGTACTTCTGGTTGTGTATATAGTTGTCAAATTAGCAGACAAACAGTAACAGGCCGTAACCTTAATTATTTTGACAGTTCAAAATTTGAACTTCATAAAAATAAATTTTCACTTTAAATTAATTGCATCGTGAGATGAACGGTCTACGGCGCTTAAAATTACTGAAGGCTTTCGTTCAATTGAAGAGAGATATAAGAGGCCTGCTTGACGCTTATCAATTCGAAAAAAGTAAGAGATGGATTAATAGGAGATGGTTGATTCGTCCTTACTACAAATTAAGATCGTCAAGAGGATTCTTTAAAAGTTCTTTTGAAGATCTAAGAAATGATGGCGATTTATTTTTCAAAGCAACGAGGATGGACACAGAAACTTTTGATTTACTGCTTTCAAAAGTTGCGCCTATTATTAAACCATTGAGAAAGAGAAAGAACAACGTTAGTTCAGCAGAAAGATTATACATAACATTAAGGTATAATAAAAATTTCAATTACACTTTTAAATATATTAATTGATTTCTAAATTTTACTAATTGTACTATATTAATCATTTTTAAGGTATTTGGCTACAGGCAATGATATAACTTCATTTTCATTGGGTCACAGGATTAGTGAAACCGCAATACTTTATATTATAAAAAATACCTGTATTGCTATTCATGAAGCATTGGCAGATATTTATTTAAGACAACCCTCGAGACCAACGTGGAGAAATGTAGCTGAAGGGTTTAAAACATTTTGGAACATTCCTAATTGTATTGGTTCAATTGATGGAATGCATGTGCCTATTGTTGCACCAAATAACAGCGGATCTTTGTACTTCAACTACAAAAAATTCAATAGTATTGTTTTTTTGGCTATATGCAACCATCGGTATGAATTCACATGTGTAGATATTGGAGCTTGTGGCTCTGAAAGCGATGGTGGCGTATTCATTCGGAGCAATATTGGTAAAGCTTTAACTGAAGGTACCTTAAATATTCCTCCAGAATGCAAAAAATTTCCTGGCAGTAATGAAAAATCGCCACATTATTTTGTTGGAGATGCAGCTTTTGGAATGAGCAAAAATATGATGCGACCTTACCCTGGAAGGAACCTTGAATACAAGGAAAAAGTATTTAATTACAGGCTTTCAAGAGCTCGTAGATGTATAGAAAATGCATTTGGAATATTACAAGCTAGATGGAAGGTTCTAGCTAGTAAACCAATAGCATTCAAACCAGAGGATGTTGAAAAAATCATTATTGCAACTGTATGCCTGCATAATTTTTTAATGTCTAGAACTCAGAAATCAGTGCGTCAGATGTACTGCCCAGAATCATTTGTCGATACTACTAATACCGATGGAAATTTAATGGAAGGACATTGGCGAAATGAAGTTGACATTGATGCTTGCATGACTCATAGATCTACTTTAAATACTTCAAGAAATATTAGAACTAAAGAAGCTTATGCCATGAGGGAAAGTCTCAAGGAATATTTCAATAGCCCCGAAGGAGAACTTCCTTGGCAGCGAGAGATTGTTACTAGAGGTGCCTATGGAGGTATTATTTAATAAAACTAATTTATGTGAAAACTATGAACTACATATTATTTCATGCAATACCCTGTCCCAATCTTTTTTCGACAATTTGTATTTTACGCGTACAATTATAATTTAAATTTAACAATTAAAAAGATAAAATTTGTACTTTTTGTGTAAAAAATTTATAGAATTTGAATTTTGCGCGCCCTCAGAAGAATATGCATACATATATCCTTTGCTTTCTATCTTATGTATGATAGCGTATGCAGCATCTTTTCGCGAAATTCAAACAGTCGAGGATCAACTGTTTGTGTGATTTTTCACTCCGACTTTATCATAGTCCAAATCTCTTCAGGGTCTATTCTTTTTATTTCCTTATTATTAACAATGTTTAATGGCGAAGATATTGAAGATATTGAGGTAATTCAAAAGGAAGGAGATGAATTGTTTTTAGACCTCATTAAAGATAGGGAGTGTTTGTGGAACAGAAGGTGTAGAGAATACCATCTGATAGATGTGAAAGATAATGCCATGCAAGAAGTTGCAGCTATTCTAGGAGATACAGGTATATGCAGACGTATATTATTTACATTCTAAAACAACTCAATGTGGCAGTTTATTTATTTAATCCTTGTTTACAACAATGTTTCAGTTACAAATTGTAATGCAAAATGGGAATGCTTGAAGAGAAAGTTTAACGAAGAGAAACTTCTCCAAGAACAAGAAAATAGAAGTGGAGCTGGTGCTTCTACACGCAAAAAATGGATATGGTATGACTACATCAACAATTTCACTTCCAGTAAATCAACCTCAAGAAAGTATGTACATATTATTAAATATAGTGTCTTCATTTTTCTATTAATTGAATGTATTTCTGTGTAGACCATTTTCAAATGTTAAAGACTGCTCAATTGAAGAGAGAGAACCAAAGCATTTAAAAAAAAATAAACGAAAGCAGTCCCAGAACCCAGCAGAGATTGCACTTAATAATGTCAATGCAAGCTTATCTGGCATTATACAACAATTATCTAATCCACCAACTGAAAAAGAAAATACAGAAGACATCAATGCATCCATTGGTCAACTTGTTATAGCTGCATTACATCAATTCAGCCCTAAAACTGCTAAAAAGAAAAAAAAACAATTAATGAGATTAGTTTATGATGATGACTCAGAATCCGATTGAAGATTGCAATCAATAGTTATAATGTGTGCACATATTTTATACACAAATATAATTTAATAGTTCACTCAGAATATATGCAATAAAAATATACATAGTATTTACATAAACTTTGGAAATTACTTTAATCAACCAACTATTTTAACAATAATAATCATTCACATTTATTTATAAGTTCACATGCACTTTTCTCCAATAATATTAAGGTGATGCCTTGGCCACAATTTTTACCGACCGAGCACAGAAAATGTATATTTTCGTAACTTTTTTTCCAGGCTGATTTTCGAAAAATGGCTCTGTGGAGCCCTCCGTATTGTTGCTGTGAACAACTGCGACGAATTTCAGTCAATTTCATCGGATAGTTTTCTCGGAAAACAGGATCAAAATTTTTTATCCTGCAAACAGTAATCAAAAATTTCGATTCTGTTTTCCGGAAAAACTACCCTATGAAATTGGCTGAAATTTGGTGCAGTTATTCACAGCTACAATACGGAGGGCTCCACAGAGCCGTTTTTCAAAAATCGGTCTAGTAAAAAAGTTATTTCAATTTACATTTTTAATGCTCGGTCGGTCAAAATTGAGGCTTCGGCATCACCTTAACAAATAATTTAAACTGATACCACAAACTTATAAATAAATGTGAATGATTATTATTGTTGTTGTGTAAGTTCACATGCACTTCTGTTCAATAATATTAACAAATAATTTAAACTGACACCACAAACTTTGGTCACCCACTGCAAGGTACGTCCTTATTTAAATAATATTTCCATCACTTTCATTATAAATTCATTTTTCTTTTGTGTGCACTTGAATCTTTGTAAGCGATGAACGATGATATCTCTTACAGCTTTGTTGTCAGCTTGCGTATTACCACTCTCATGATTGGAAGTTTTTTGTGAAATTTCTTTCATCTGCACACAAATATATGGCCGATTCTCTGTGAAATGGAATGGCCAAAAAAATTTTTTTTCTGCAAATATGAAAAACTTGCTGTTCCCGATGTCAGAAATGTCCCCAAATTTTATTAGAATTTTTGGGACCATCTATCACTCTTTTTCAGGGGCCCGAAGTTGGCCATTTTAGGGTTTTTTTGAAATTCATGAAAAATCACAAATATTAAAATAATTCCTGGATTAAAGTAGAATGATTCAAAAGTAAAAGTGCCCAGCAACTTTTTTGTTGGAAATTGTCCAAATTTTCAGAAAAAAAATATGCCAAAGTGATTGGAACAATCTAGGTAAATGTAAAGCAAAAAAACTGCAAAAAAAACATAAAACAAGAAATCTACTCGAGTTCGAACCGGACTTTCATTTCCTAAACTATGTAAAAAGCTTCCCAAAGATGTCAACTAATGCCTGATAAAGTTTTGTAATGGGTCTTAAAGTTTAACGCAATGTAGACAACAATGTGTGGCGAAAAACATGCAAAAAAGGTCAAAAATAGGCCCAAAATGCCTAAAATCACCAAAAACAGCCATTTTCAGGCCTTTTTTGCATGTTTTTCGCCACACATTGTTGTCTACATTGCGTTAAACTTTAAGACCCATTACAAAACTTTATCAGGCATTAGTTGACATCTTTGGGAAGCTTTTTACATAGTTTAGGAAATGAAAGTCCGGTTCGAACTCGAGTAGATTTCTTGTTTTATGTTTTTTTTGCAGTTTTTTTGCTTTACATTTACCTAGATTGTTCCAATCACTTTGGCATATTTTTTTTCTGAAAATTTGGACAATTTCCAACAAAAAAGTTGCTGGGCACTTTTACTTTTGAATCATTCTACTTTAATCCAGGAATTATTTTAATATTTGTGATTTTTCATGAATTTCAAAAAAACCCTAAAATGGCCAACTTCGGGCCCCTGAAAAAGAGTGATAGATGGTCCCAAAAATTCTAATAAAATTTGGGGACATTTCTGACATCGGGAACAGCAAGTTTTTCATATTTGCAGAAAAAAAATTTTTTTGGCCATTCCATTTCACAGAGAATCGGCCATATATATACATTAAGGTGATGCCTTGGCCACAATTTTTACCGACCGAGCACGGAAAATGTATATTGAAATAACTTTTTTACTAGACCGATTTTCGAAAAACGGCTCTGTGGAGCCCTCCGTATTGTAGGTGTGAATAACTGCACCAAATTTCAGCCAATTTCATCGGATAGTTTTCCCGGAAAACAGGATCAAAATTTTTGAATAACGTTTGCAGGATAAAAAATTTTGATCCTGTTTTCCGGGAAAACTACCCGATGAAATTGCCTGAAATTTGGTGCAGTTGTTCACAGCATCAATACGGAGGGCTCCACAGAGCCGCTTTTCGAAAATCAGCCTGAAAAAAAAGTTACGAAAATATACATTTTCTGTGCTCGGTCGGTAAAAATTGTGGCCAAGGCATCACCTTAATAATTATAATAATTTTTAATACTAGTAAATATAATATATAAAATATATTCACCTTACGTATGTCTTCAATTGACTTATCAGTAACTTCAGTTGACTTGTTAGATTGAGTTTGTTCGGTATCTGAATATTCTTCTAGTACAGGCGGTGATGATACATTTAAATCTGTTTCATAAACGTCTAACAAGTTGTTATTGTTCTGGGAAGTCTGGTAAGTTTGAGGCAATTCAGCAATAGACTCTTCTATCATCTCCTCTTGTACCCTCTCATCTTCTACCTTATCAGAAGAATTTGATTTGATAGCAGCTTTAGTTGGTTTTTTGGAGCTAAAAATTAAAGTTCAATTAATTAATGTTAAATTCTTTTTTAAATGCTAATAAAAAAAGTATTCATTTTACCTTCTGGTATACATGTAAGGTTCCAGGTAACTTAAATATTCATACTTGTTAATTGCTATTCCCTGTGCTTTTTTTGTTCTCTCTTTTGAGTAGTATTGCCTGAGCCTCACGAAGCGACTTTGACACTGGTCGACTACAAAATAAATCAATAAACACTAGAGTAAACTATGTGTAATGTTTTATAAAATTCAAAAGAATAATTATAAAACTTACCAGACTTTTCCAGTTCGCTAGCGATAGTGAGCCAGGCTGTTGAAATTTTATCCTTGTTGTCCTTTTTGTTTGACTTTGAATAGATGCATGGATAGTTTTTTATTTTTGTTCCCAAAGCCACATCAAACTCTACAGATTCATTTTTTTCATATTTTTCACATTCTTGAACTTGATTTGAGCCAGAGCAATAATTATGATTACTCATTTTCAAATTAAGTACGTTTGGTAAGGTTATCAAAATGTAAACACAGCAGATGACACTTCGCTGACAGCTGTGAACACAGCGAGGAACAGTAGCGTCACTGTTCCTCGCTGTGACCGCTGTGCTCGCTATTCTTTTTTAAGGCGATGCCTTGGCCCGAATTTTGACCGACCGAGCATTAAAAATGTAAATTGAAACAACTTTTTTACTAGACCGATTTTCGAAAAACGGCTTTGTGGAGCCCTCCGTACTGTAGCTGTGACTAACTGCACCAAATTTCAGCCAATTTCATCGGATATTTTTCCCCGGAAAACAGGATCAAAAATTTTGATTACTGTTTGCAGCATAAAAAATTTTGATCCTGTTTTCCGGGAAAACTATCCGATGAAATTGGCTGAAATTTGTCACAGTTGTTCGCAGCAACAATATGGAGGGCTCCACAGAGCCGTTTTTCGAATATCAGCCTGGAAAAAAAGTTACGAAAATATACATTTTCTGTGCTCGGTCGGTAAAAATTGTGGTCAAGGCTCTGACATTTGAGCACTTACTATAAGCATTTGTTGTAAGAAAATGACGCTTACCATAGTTTCAGGCGATATGCCCATGCTCCGCAACAAAGCAGTGCAACCTAACTGCTGTATTGAATAAGGAGGTCTGTACCTCACAGAGTTGCAAAATATATATATTTTTTACTAAATTGAATATTGAAAAACGGTTCTATGGGAACCTTCATTTTGTTGCTCTCAATAGCTGCGGTAAAAATTTCAGCTCATTCCACTGACCACATTTCCCTGAAAACGTGTTTGAAATTTACACCACTTTTTAAAATTTTTTTGTACATCTTCGTTTTTTGAGCCTTTTTTTCTTTTGCAATTTCAAGGTGACATTTGTGTTCAAGCCATTTCGAAATTTTGACGATCTTTAAGCTCTAAATCGAAAATCGAAAAACGGCTCTATGGGAACCTTCATTTTGTTACTATGAATAGCTGGTAAAAATTTGAGTTAATTCCACCGACCAGATTTCCCGGAAAATGTGTTTGAAAATTTCAAGCCGAGAAAACGGGTGCAAATTTCGAACACGTTTTCAGGGAAATGTGGTCGGTGGAATGAGCTGAAATTTTTACCAGCTATTGAGAGCAACAAAATTAATGTTCCCATAAAGCCGTTTTTCGATTTTCGATTTAGAGCTTAAAGATCGTCAAGATTTCGAAATGGCTTGAACACAAATGTCACCTTGAAATTGCGAAAGAAAAAAAGGCTCAAAAAACGAAGATGTACAAAAAATTTTTAAAAAGTGGTTCGTTGAATTGAGTGACAAAAAATGTAGAGTACAGCGGGGGGTGTTGGCATGTGAGGTAAGCTGGCCGAAGTGAATATTCCTCCTTATCAAGAGCTTAAACCGAAATGGTGCTACTGCTTACAAACACTATATAGTATCATCTCTTTCCAAGTCAATTTCTATCAAATGTATAAATAATTTTCGATAGCTTTAGATTGAAAATATTGTTTTTCGAAATCCTTACGAGGAGCCAGCTGAAGCTAATACAAATAGTGCTGATAATTGGATTTTAAATGAATTGTCCTACGTTCGTGTAATATTTTCATGTTAACTTTTCACAACTTCGTTTTCAACCGGCCTGCGGAATCAAATTTTTGCGTCCCGTTGTGTTTACAATAAACGGATCCTACTGTCGTGAACGGGATTTAAATTATTTAAGGACCCTACTGTATTATAAAGGTGAAAAAATAATGAAATTCAATTCTTATTCATTCAATCAGACTTACTAATTTTATTCGTGTTTTAATATTTTTATTTAAATGCAGTTATAAAACTGTAGACTGCTAAATTATATTTACAATTATAGTTGATCAAATTTTATTTGAAAAATGCTTTCTGAATCCGAAAATTGGTTTGAATTAATTATAAAGATTTTATTCACAATATAATAGTTAAATAATACGTTAGCTATTTCTTCGTCTTATTTAATAAAGAGCAAAAATATTCTGTACAAATAATGGAATATAAACGTAACAATTTTCATACTAAGACATCGCACTTAGTAAGTTAAATCTTATCAACTCGGATATAAATTAAAAGTGAATCAAATGTGCGCTTTATAACACGAGTCAACGTAAATAAAATATATTACATAATATTCAACCAATATTAGTTTTTTTGTAAATGCAAATACTTTCAGGTTTACAAATCCGATTTTGATCCACCTGTATAAAATATATAAGTTGATGTTTACATTGGGATTGGAGAACAAGTAGATCTAACAATACCTTTTTTATCAAAAGCCATAAAGATAATGTAAAGATGAAATATACGCGTGTAAAGTATATTACACGATTTTTTTGTAATTTAATGTTTTTAAGTAATATTTTCAGTAGCTTGACATGAATCAGTATCGGCTATTTGTGTATAATTCATTATTTATTAACTTTTAATACGCTAAATTACAAACGCACGAAAAAGCGCTTGTTATTACTATTAACAAGCATTAATTTGGCTAAAAAGTTGTTAGAGCCAATTTAAAAATGAACGCATCAATATGTCAACATAATTTGACATGTTTAGATGCAATATGTACAATATGTGTGCAATATTATTAACATGACTTTGTTGAATTTTTGCAACAACATACGATTGTTATAAAACATTCTAATCACAGAAAAAATGCCCAACGCTTCTCGTTCTGCATTCAAAAAAGTACTGCCTGCAAAGGATACAATGATTATTTTCGTAGCGACGGCTTGTTTGAATTGAATAATTGCTTCAATAATATAGCACTGTAAATAGTACATTACGTAAATGAAGCGGTTGGTTGTCTATCTTGCAAGAGTGTTAGTTTGCCGCCCGAGCATAACGAGGGTTGCATTGACAGGAGTGCAAGATTAACAACTGCCTCAATTACGTATAGTATTTTTCATCATCGAATGCAGGAAGTCGATTTAAAAATTTTCCCGCACGCTGTGATGAAAACAATATTCTCGTTTAAACAATATTTAATTCCAGTTAGGCGCAGTTAAACGTCTTTGCAATTAGTACATGAACACAAACGTATAGCAATGAAATACAAAAGTCGCTGATAATTAAAAGCAGGGGTACGCACCTGCGTCCTGCCTTGCATTTCTCCCATTTATCAATGCCACACACATTGACTAGAAAATCAAGCATATCTTATTTAAAAAGTTAGATCGTAATATAAACGTTGTGTCGATCGATTGCTGCACTTAACAAGGCGAATTTTCAAATAAAACGATCTTTTCGCTCGTATTTCACATGGTACTTTTTTACGAATTCATAAATATATAATGCGATACGTTGGTAACAATCGACACTAAGGTTTTTATCACTTATTCAGATCCGTTTGCAGGAGGTGTAGCGCGTGCCGCACTCGAGACGCGACTAGAGATTGAAGACAAGCTGCGTCATCATTATCTTCTGCAATTCGGCAGAGCCGGGCGAGTTTTGATGGCTCATGTTCAGGCAGAGCTCGTGGTCGCGAACGTCACCCCAGCCTCCGTTGCCTTTGCGCAGCTTAGTTTTCTTTGAGACCGCGGCGAGCGTGAGGGTCAGCTGCGACGGATAGAGGTGGTTACGAGCTGCCCGCAGTACATTCTGAACCTTGGCTATGACCTGCGTTGACTCGCAGTTTGCTTTTTTGTGGTGAACCCCGCTGCAAATAATAAAGTCATCATCGGTACTAATTGGTTACACGAATCTTGTCATTGAATAATCCAATGCCCATGGAGTTTACCATTCGCCAATGTGAAAAACTCGAGGGGCCCGCATCATCATGGTGATGAGGCCCGAGTCGAGTCGGGGCGCAACGCCGGCCCCGCGACTCGGTGGAAGACAAGTTTGGGCGATGTGCTGCAAACTCCAGTCCCAGTTGTAGTCGTCGTACGAGCAAAACTGCGCGGCGCACCTACGCAACTTCATCCAAGTTACCCGATTGAACGCCATGCCCATATTGTGCTTGCTCGAGATCCAAGGTATCACTTCGACCTGTGGACATTTTTACAGTGTTTTATTATTCATGTACTCACTTCATACTAATCAGACATGCTTTTCTCTCGTCGCTCAAGCTTTTCTACTTATATCTGATTAATGCACTCATTTTATACTTAAAAAAAATGAAAAATCGTCTAACTAATTCGTTGTAGACGTGATTCGACTGGAATGATTTTCAAAGGACAATGTTACATATTTACATATCGTTTTCGAGAATTTAAAAAAAATTCATTACTTTTGTGGTTTTATCGAATTAATTTGGTGTTTGATTGAGAAAACGTAAAGTACTCTAATTAATGCACAATGCGTATACCACTGAACCATCTGAATATTTTTCTACCCCTGGTCATTAATAATAATATTAATATATTTCAAAAAAGTATGCAAAATTTTTTATGTTTTAATATCACATTTTCTGTGTGCTTAGTTATTTGATCTATCTTTCCTGAAAAAATTAAATATCTTACACAGAAAGCTCTAGTGAAACATTTGCTACCTCATTCATTTTAACTTTTTAAGTATTTTGAAATTTTATGAAAAGTAAAAGTTTGAGAAGTACTCAAAACTACAAATAAATCTTAAAAATGCATGCAACGATGGTCCTAAAAAATTATGTAAGAATAATTTTTTCATGTATCATGTCAAGTTTGTACTCTACTGTGTACTCGTTTTTTATGCATTTGCAACGTTGATCATAAGTACAAACAAACAGCAGAAATATTACGATAAGGAATAAAAAAACCATAGAAATAGCCGAAGCTTACACTAAAATGAAAGTGTAATCGAAAGAAGTATGGGCTATTATAAAATAATATCTACTTATTAAATGTACAAATCAAATAATTATATAAATATATTTCAGTATAAGTGGGTGAATCATGCAAAATAAATCCAAATCGGTTTTGGTTATAACTAATATTTCGAAAAGTTATCTTATAAAAGCTAATAATATTTCTCAACTACCACTAAGATTAAAGGATGCAATGCACTATCGTAATACAGCAGTCTAAGTATAAATGAAAAAATTTGTGAAACTTGATAGATAATGTAGTGAACCTTTTGATAATGTTGATATAGGCCAGGTAAAAGTTGATAGGCCCAAGAAGGAGTGGCAACAATCGGCTGGGTGGGTTTCGCCAAAGCGATACCTTGTCCGTGCAGCCTTATAACGCCAGCACCATTACTTTGCAGCTTTTTCCCACCCCTCAGCAGTTCTTTCTGCGTACCCCAAATCATTTCATTTACTTTAATGCGCTTGCAAAATTTTTTTTGAAAAATATCTCAAGCCTATTTTTTGTTGTACACGCTGTATGAAATGTGTAAAAATAAAAAGAGTACCTATGTAAAAAATTACTCGAGAAGCGTTTTTTTGTGAAGCAATGTGTGCGATGAGCTCGGATGCTTCACTAATAAAATTGTAAATGACTGATAACTGTCAATAAATTCAGGCTTAGACAAAAGTATTCAAGTAAAAAATTTCAGTATAACTATATAACTCATGAGTAATAAAATAGTATATTTTGCCCCTGTAAGCACGTGTAATTTATCATCCGAGGCGAAGCCGAGGTTGATAATCACGTGCTCTGAGACTTTCTTTTTTCGCTACATAAGTGCAAATACAATTTTTTGTGAATCCCTCTGCCTAAAGTAACATTTTCATTTCGCTCAGCAGGAGTAAAATGTTACTTTAGGTTGGAGTGGCACAAAAAAAAAACATATCGAATAGCGATTGTTACGTTGAAAATTAATGAGACAAAAAAGTTGTGTCACTGCGTTTGAGTAAATCGCAGTCGTCGTGTAAGAGCAGTCAAATATTGTCGTAAATGATACGAGATAAAATGCACTCGGTGGTGAATGGACCGACCTTTTTGCTAACGTCGGCGTAATAGTTGTAAGTCTTGAGATAGGTGCCGAGCGAGAGGACGTTGCAGCGCTCGCAGTTGTGCTTGCAGGTGCGCTCCATAAGCCTGAGCACGTGCAAAAAGTCCTCGGCCACGTAGTGGTCCTCCTCGAGGAACAGCACCATGCCCGTGTGGTTGCGAGTCACGGTCAGCTGGTCGAACACCCGATTGGCCTTCCACCACCAGTGGTGCTTCGTCTGCGTGAACTTGGCCTCGCGGTAGTGTCCGTAAAGGTCCGGGTGCTGGGCGTTCGTGCAGCCCATCTGCGCGGCCCTGTAAATGCGTATCGTCAACAAGTGTATAAATTACGGAATAATGCTACAGCGAACTCACTGCTCCTTGCGAATGTTGCGAGGACAATCGTTGGGGCTCTCGCCGGGAAAAGTGTCGGGATGCGTCTGGATGCTGTACGGATAGAATATCTGCATGACTCGGCAGAAGTCGACGTTCTGCACGAGATAATTGATGTCCGGGTTCCAGACGTCGTGGCTGAAGACGAGCAGGGTCTGCTCGATGCCGCGCGCCTGGGCCAGCGAGATGATGAGGTGGCGCAGATAGGTGAGCCGATCGTGGACCTGCACGACGATGACGGGCGCGTCCGGGGCCAGGGGCCCGAAGGCCTCCTCGTTCAGGACGCGCTGCTCCGCGTTGACGCGCTCGATCTCGCGCCGTATCCGGTCGATGTCGCGCTCCGTCAGGCTGCCGCCCTCGCCCAGCTGGTCGCCAGGCCCAGCGCCGAGGCTGCTGTTGACGCCTCGCGCGCCTTCCTGGCCGCCACCGGCGCCGCTGGCCGATCCATTGCTGCGTCGATCTTTGAGAAACCTGTCGATACGCAAGAGCGACGCTGTCATTCGCGATGCAACGGAAATTGTAGCAGTTGAACTCAGCCAAGAGGCTGACCATGACCAAACACATTTTCTCAGAATTCTATCAAATTTGTTTTTGAAAAGGCTACGTTGACGCTTTCATACCTTCATCTTAATAAATTGATTAATTTAATTTTTTCATAATAAATAACATTTCTTCTTCGCGTCTACTTGATATCGTATGCCTCGATCACGTGTAATATTGATTGTGGTTTTGCTTGACAACTCGAGTGACAACGACCCAACGAGGTCTTCTACTATCACTACTAGCTGCATTTTGCGCGCTTCTCGTGTAGAAATACATTTGCGGAATATATTGAATATGCAGTCGCCGTCGAAGGACTCTCCAAGTCCTAGTCGTATTTCGTATTGCGCGTACGTGCGTAACGTCGGGATTTTTCGGAAATACGATCCTCCGCGCTTGTAAGCCGAGTGCATCTCTGTGGTTTGCCGACACAAATACCTTATAAACGAGAAAGTGCTGATTGCGCGCGTAAAATTCGCGCGCACTCGACTGAACGAGCTCATCGCGTGCTGCTGCTCCGTCGTGAACGTAGTTGTCACGTGCGCTACACTCGCTAAAATAACAATGGTACGCGAGAAAAAACAATAGGGTCAAGGGCTCTCGTTTGGCCTAGGCGTGCGTGTACCGAAAGAAGCTGGTTCCGCGACGATTGGCGAAGGGTCGCGGCTCACCTGTGCAGCTCTTGGGGCACGAGGGCGTAGAGGCTCTCGTTGACAACGGCTTGATTGGACCAGTCGCGACTAGTCAGATTGATCACGTGCAGCTGCAGCCAGAGGAACGTCACCAGGAAGAGGAAGGCCAGGCTGCGCCAGAGTAGACCTCGACTGGGTCGCGGCGCCACCACTGCTCCGATCGCCGATCCTATAAGAATAAATATATTACAGCATTTCAACTCCAGTGCAACGCTAAATTTTGACTTGAGCACGGTTAACGCGTTTTATCAATAAACCAATCAAGGGTCGCAATACCCCTTGACAAGCTAAGTAATGAATCTCTGGCCCTTATTCCGCATGATATATTTACCATGATGGCATTAGGTAAAACTGCAAAATGATATAAATTAATTTCAAGTCTTCAAGAATTAATCTTGTCCACAATGAGTTGATTTTTACAAGTGTACTTATCCTCTTTTTCAAAAGCCATACATTCGTTACTCAATAAAATAATTTTTTAGAAAACAACCTATACATATTTTTTACACGTGGAATACGAGTAAAAGTACAAAAATTAAAATGCATGAATTCTTCATTCGTGGCTAAAACCAATTATCGAGCGTTGCTAAAGCTCAAATATATTATATTATTGCCGAATAATTTTACCAGAAAATGATCGTCTCCAGCTTTTATTACGCACCTTGTACGAGTCCGCACGAGTGCGACGTTAATAATTCATTGAGAATTCCAACGGCACTTAGTGTAGAGGTGTAAATAGAAAGAGAGGGTCAAGTGCGTACATATACGCCGGTGCTCGAAACAATGAATAAACCTTTTATACACCGAGCTATAAGCTCGCACCTTTTTTGCTCGACCGTTAAGAGCTGTAAAGAAAGCTCATCATTGCGAAAGTGCGAGCGCGAGCATTATCAAACTGCACCGATCAAGCTATAGTTTCTACCTTATGTGATCTTAAATTTTACGACCAAGTTGGTCTTTTATTACGCAATTTTCAAGTCAAAATTTGAAACTCTTCATCGCCGAAAAGTTTTCACGGACTATACTCATTTTCGCATGATAGTTGGCTAGCTATTTTCGAGTTTGCGGCGGTAATTAATGGAAAAAAACACAGCTTTGATTCACGAATAAATGTCTATTACTATGCAAACTCAACGAACGAAATGTTTATGCGTTCGAAGACGCGGCGCGCTGAAACATCATTACTATGCGGCGGCATCGCTCCTCAAGCTACATCGTAACAAAAGTACTAAATAGAAAATATATATACTCACCTCTCATGTTGACCTTCCTAACTGACGCTTCTGTAAACAAAGCCAACGAAAACGTGTTTAACCAAATATCGTCTATGTGTATATGTATTATAATCGTTAGCAAACAATTTATTAACATGCTTCATTTTTCACCTCGTTGCTTATTGCTACATACTCTTGACAATTATCGACGACGAGATAATTGCTTATCAAGTACGAGATGAAGACAGTTTAATTACGATATGCGTTCAGTTAATTTTAACAAAATGATGCCTCGTTGCTCACCTTAGACAGTTAGTGTGCATCAAATGCGTCTCCATTTTCCATCCAATCTAAAAAAGAAAATCAAACGATTATTTTAATTTATGAAATAAAAAATTTAAATGAAAAGATTTGTGAATGGGAGGGAGGGGCAACCGCAACGCTAAACTCGCAAAGGTATTCGATTATTCAAATATCGCGGCAGAGTGAAACAACGGAATCATACACATCCGCGTATGTATATTAAATAGCAGTGTCATAAAGATCGAGTTGAAAAGCGAAACAATGGGAGAGGAGTAAACTGAAAAATGAGATCACAGATAATTGGCACGCGTCCGATCGCTCAAAGTAGGTCTCTCTCACTCACTTACACTGTCATGCGGTAGTGCATGTGCATACGTTACAGTTGCTCTAGTCGAAGGGATTAAAACGTCCAGCAGAGACACTTTGATAATGACAAACGCACTCGCTCAAATCATACGTACAGTGCAAGCGATTGCGTATATTAAGCTTAAATACCGGAGCGAGTGTGATAATTATGGCACACATACTTGTAAATCGAGCAGCGCTGTGTGACGCGATTGTGTGGTGAATACGGAGCGGATGTTTGACACGTGCGAGAGCACAACATGTCATCGCACCGTACGAGTACTTTTGTTTTCGCGCGAAAAATCGATGCCCGAATCTATCGCCTATTATACTTGCGCGGCACGGGATACTTTCGCACTTGAAAGGGTAGACGCGCCGAAATCAACAGAAATTATCTATTTATTTACTCGGACCTATAATAAGAACGCACATCGCAAATAGATTATAAACGTATATTGTTAGAGCCGAGTCAATTATATACAAAAGTGTATAGTTAAGGGTCGATGTCCTCAGCTGTGCGCGGCTAGTTCTCAACCGCGTTAACTCGTATTATATCAGGCCAAGCTCTCTCTCTCTCTCTCTCTCTCTCTCTCTCTTGAGCTTCCGCGTTGCATCATAACGCGTTTATACGTATCATATATAGTACAGTATATAGAAATTCGAAGCGCACGCGGACGACGTAGCCGACGACGCTGCCTGGCCGCGAGCATTTTACAAGGTATTTATGCATCTGCACATAGCACACGGCTGCACGCTACATCCATCCAGTCGCGCACGTTAAGCGAGTTACGCTCTCATTTTGATATGCAAAACCTGTTAGGCTAATCGAGTAAGCATAATGCACTTATCGCAGCTTATACCTTCTTCCAGGCTTCGCCCGCCTCGGTCACTCGCTTTCGACTCTTCGACTTCTTCTTCTTCTTTTTCGTCTTCTTTTTCTTTTAACCCCTTACAATATACTGAGTCATGAGGCGCATTACGTAATCATCGCGGGCTGCACCGCGAGCGCCGTTCGGTCGTGCATCATCGGTTTTGCCAGGCAGGCGTGTGCGCTATAGTCTTAAGAAGAGTCCTCGTCTCGCGTGAAGTTAATACCTAACGTTCAATAATGCTATAAATTTAATTTGCGGCTTCGTAATAATTTCGAAGAAGACGAATTGATAACAGTCAGCTGCGTATGAACTATTGCTGCAGTCAGCTAATTGCACACGCTTCCGTCGCATAAGCGGCCTGCAAGCGCGCACATAGCTCTGTAGTACCGAAAGAAAGCCAAAAAAGAGCACGCAAATCTCGAGTATAGGGCCGAGCAGCAGCAGTAACAGCTCGGTTGATTCAAAAGAACCCCCCCACCCCGGACGCAGGCGGCGCTCGATAGTAGCGGCTGCATATTTTTTTGCAAGCTCCGAGTTTGTGAAGCTAGCAGGCCGCCAATTGATCGGTCAGCGCACGGTCAGCTCGCAAGCTGCACGGCATGTGTGTCCGACCTACATTGCGCCTTTTACAGAGCTGTGCATAAAAAGAGAGAGTGAAGGAGGGTAGCGCCGAGTGAGTTGCATCGAACGGATAAATCAAGTACGCGCCTAGTAGGGATCACCGAATTTAAGCTGCAGTCGGCAGAAGTTTTCCGTCGTTGGGACGCGCGCTCGGGACAGCTTAAGTCAAGAGATGTTCCACCGGCCTACACGCCAAAAACCACCCGGGCGAATATATCGAACCGAGGTGAAATAGATTGCTGAGACAGCGCCGAGCTTTTAACTATGATACTGCAGCATATGAAAACTTGCCGCAAAGGTTGACGGTCCGAAGTCACGTCCCTGCACATTAGGGTGTCGCTTATTTTTTGATTTTTTATTGCTTAGGACATCTTAATCGTTAGCGTAACACGAAAAACCAATCCTAGAGTTAAGTTGAAAACCTTAAACAAACATTTCGCGTACTCAACTGAAACATTTTTTGGTCATAGTTGTAGCATTAAAAGTATACTATACTAGTTTAGAGATTGAAAAGGCCACAGAAATTTTCTCGGAACCCCAAAATTTGGTTTTAATTCATAAAACACATGAAAATATTAGATTGTCATCGTTTTTCTAACAGTTTTTGTCATTTAGTTTTAAAGAACACAAACTGACTTTTGATTTGGTTATTTTAAACAAATTTTAAGTGTTATAGAACCAGAGTTACAGCTGATTAAAGTTTCCCAAAAAATCAAAACATAAAATCTGTGAACCGCTGATAAACCATTAACGCCGGCAAAATCATCTCAGCAAATTGATCCTATAATACATCGATACTTCTCAAGTGTCGGAGTCACGAGCGAAGAAATAATTCGAAAAGATTTGATAATGTCTCGTGACTTAACTTCCGTAAACATCTCGTAGTCGATCGCTCGATGTCAATTACCGTTCGCGTCCATTATCCGCAGATAATTTGTCCCATTTATATCGAAAGTATCGTTTAACTTGCAGGCAGCGTCGGAAGCAGCAGCAGTAGAAACGGAAAATGTGTCGCTCATGCCCAGACGAGGCACAAAGGCGCAAGTCGTTGGAGAGCTTCGCGCCCAACGATCATCAGGCTTTTCTGTCACGATCGGGTGCTGCTGCTGCTGCTGATCTGGTATACTCTTGGACAATCGCATCGAAGGAACGTGTACTGCTTTCCAGTGTAAGCTGTTTACTCTAGCTGCATGTATGTAGAAGCGTGCGCGAGAAGCGAATAAATATGATGGTCGCGCGACTCGCAGGGCCGACTAGCTCTCGACTCTGAACCATATATATTATATAGAGCGCATGCGAGCTTGATTTTGCCAAGCGAGAGATAAAAGGCTGCAGGGAGCTGGCGGATTTTGGACACGTTGGATGTTTGGCAGGCTGCCCGATGTACGTTCGGCAGAGAGAGAGAGAGAGAGAGAGAGAGAGAATGCACGGCTCACCTCCCAGGCTCCTAAACAAATGCATAGACTGCGTGTACACACACACAAATTTATTGCATGCTCTAAGACACACAAGCACGCGAGCTATAATAATAATAATGATGATGACGATGATAATAATATATAGGGGCATTGTGCGTGTTGCGCGTGTATTTGTGCGTATAACCGGTGTGATCCGGACTCGGCTCTCTTCTATTTCGACCAGTGGCTCGAGTCCCCGACTATTTCCGCCTGCAGTAGTGCGCGCGGCATTATTCGGCTCACCCACATACAGAAGCATTCGTTCAACATGATGGAAAACGAGGTCCGTTCGAGTCCGCATCAAACTATCATATATACTGGATGCGATTTGGCGAACGTCTCGTACGATCGAAACGGTTCGTTATAAAGCTTCCCGTGAAGAATTTAACTCGACGCGACAACGATTAATTCCACTAATTACTGACTTTCTCGACGTTTCAACGACGAGCAATGTTATCGTGATTTATTATGCCCCACGAAGACGCTGCAGCGGTGAGTCTGCTCGGCGCGAATCTGCGATACGCGTTTAATATAAAGCCGCTATGTACGCGATCTGTGCATTGTACCTAGGAACCGTATCAATACAGTATACCTTCGAGAGTTTACGTTGACACACATTTGCATGCGCGAACCAGTTGATTCAATTTCCCATAGGAGACTCGAGCAAGTCACGAAATAAAACATGTCTCTTGTCCACTTAGAACGCGCGGTGTGCTGTAAAGTGAGTGGTAAATGAATTTTTCCATTCTGGTTGATACCTCTGAGTTCATTTGTATATAGTTTGAACAGTTAATACCGAGGCCGCTAACGTGACCTGCACTCTCACTCTAATCTATACGAAACAGTAATTTTTTTTTTCTAATTGAATTTTTCTTTTACATCATTTCATCAATTTTGTTAATTTATTTTATTGTAAATGGATTTTTAGTTTTGTTGTCTTGGAGAACTAAATTCGGGCTGTGAGTACTGATGAGCTTTTTTATGAAAATCTGGTTTTTATGAAAAAGAATAAAAAATTAAGATTTTACTTAAAAAAAAGTACTTTACCATGCGATTAAATAAATTAATTATCCTAATTTTTAGGCGGAATTAATCCGAGTTTCGAGCGACGAGCTAATTTTTGTCTCAGCTCGTAAGTACATACAGGTAACATGGCGTATGAGATGCAGTAGAGCGAACCTAGATACATATAAATAATGAGTAATCCGCACGTGACGTGTCCGACGCGCAGCTCGTCGTGAATGATGCGGACTGTGCACGATATAATGGACGCTTAAATTAAATTGACTTTGTAAATCTGAATGATTATATTCAAGTGTGTGATATACGAGCACATAGCGTCATAGTGCTCTTATGACGACTGGAGACAAGGCGAGGATTTTACGCATGCAGCGCGATTATTTGAACTTTTTTTATCGCTCGCATGCGGTTTCTTTCAATTTACGGCAACGTATGCAACATATATATATATTAGTACGCCACCAAGCGCCATTAATCGAATGAAAAACTTTATTATTTTCATTCGCATATTAAAGTAGTTGAAAAACAATCAAATGCCAACGTTGTTGTAATATAGCTTTTAAGCATTAAACTAATCAGATTTAGCTGCTGCGTATTGCAGCGAGCACGAGAAAACTCGCACCCTTAATCAAAAATAAACGCAATTTTAATTCTCATAAAGTCCATTAAACTCGTTATTACTTTTGACGGCAAATTAAGCTGCTGGAAAGAGTGCTGCGCTCGTCGAGGTTGTTGCGAGCGGGATGCGATAGTCGTGCGGCGACGCGAGAGCATATAGACGCGCTCTCTCTCTCTCTCTCTCTGCACGCACACCTCGATCGTCGTCGCCGCGGACTTGCTCTTATTATTCGACTTTGTATTACAACCGCGGCATGTTGGCACGCCGCAAGTAATATTATATAGTTACGACGATCGAGCGCGCGGATAGGATCGTATATATAGGAGAAAAGGGGGCAAACGAGGAGCGCGCGTTATACGCGAGGATAACGAGATTGTAAATGTCAGGCGGCGCGTCATCGCGGCGCGCCGGGAGAGCTCCCCTTACATAATATATATAACGTATATATGCGTATAATAATAACACGAGATCTCGAAAGAACTAGTTATAGATACATCGCACACCTTGTCAGCTCCTTGCGCAAAGACTATTATATATTACACCTGCAGTTTTTTTCGCAGCTGCTATACGTATGTATACAGTAATATAATGTACAACGAAATCAATTAAGCGTGACATGCACGTGTAGCAGCTCTAGCCCGTGTCCGTCAAAATAGGAACAAAGTTCCTTCGAACGTAGGCACGTGAGCTACTTTGAGTTGAGTACCGAAGGCGCTGATTGTGCACTTATATGTAGGCTACTCTAATAATGCACACGAATTCGACGGAAAGAGAGCCTCGGCGGCCACGGGGACATTATTATATTCGTGCAAGATGGATCAGATGT